GAAAGGTTCTTCCGTCGAAATTTTCCAGTTATTTGTTATCTTTGAAGTTAATGTGAATGCATTTCTTTTTCTTAGATAACAGATGCTGTGGCGGTTGCCCGTATCCTTAACGCTACACTTGTGGTACCTGAATTTGATCATCATTCCTATTGGAAGGATGATAGGTATTTAAAGAAGATTGGCCTCTCGAGTTGTTGCTTTAACCTTTTTCCTAATATTTTCTATTTTTGATGATAGTATTTGTTTATGCACATCCGTCTTGGCATGCAGTGACTTTGTCGATATTTTTGATGTTGGTTGGTTCATATCCTCTCTCTCGAAAGATGTGACTATTGTTAAAAGAGTTCCTGATAAAGTTATGCGTGCCATGGAGAAACCTCCCTATACCATGCGCGTCCCTAGAAAATCAGAGCCTGAATACTATCTTGATCAAGTCTTGCCTATACTTTTAAGGAGACGTGTAAGACCGCTTCACTAACATTTGCTAATGCATTCAGAGCTTTTTTCTGAAAGTTAATTGTTTCATACATTTTTGCGCACTACTTTAAGGTGTTTCTTTGTAAAATGCACAAGGTTTGGTAAAACTCTCGTACTTTCTTCCTGAAGTACTCGTGTTGAAATTGTATCGTGGTGACATTAAAATAATAGTGTTGTCGTTGATTTCTTGCCATATTGAAATTTCGGTTTGATGTCAGTACTAAAGCGAGAAATTCGTGATGTAAATCTGCAGGTTGTCCAGTTGACAAAGTTTGATTATAGACTTTCGAGTATTCTTGACGAAGATCTACAGAAGCTGCGTTGTCGAGCGAATTATCATGCTTTAAAATTTGTGAAACCTATTGAAGATCTTGGTCACAAACTTGTGAAGAGAATGAGAAAGATGGCAAAACGTTACATTGCCATTCACTTGAGGTTTACTATCCCTTACCTTATTTAGAATTTTGTTCATATATTTTGCAAAACGCCACTTGGTCCTTCCCTATAGTTTTGTTCAGTATTTGCAGCATCAGTCATCTTCTAATTATTTAAGTTCTTTTTTCGTCTTAAATAAGAAGCTCGAACAGATAACGCTTTTCGCGTAAGAAAAGTGTTTCTTGATCTGAACTTGATCGTACTGATAATCTGTTGATCATAGATATAAGATGTAGATGGGCACTATTATTCTTATCACCTACATGATCTTATTGCATTGTAGAATACCCAATTATCATCATACGCTTGACCACTTAACAGAAGGATAAAAGGAGACCTCCATCTGTACAAGTTCTTCAAAGCTATACAAAACCTTTTACTTAAAACTTCAAATGTGACATCCCACACCGGTGGGGAGGAGAACAAAATACTCTTATAAGGGTGTAGAAACCTTTCCCTACCAGACGCGTTTTAAAGGCTTGAGGGAAAGCCCAAAGAGGACAATATATATTAGCGGTGGGCTTGAGCCGTTACAAATGGTATTAGAGTCAGGTTTCGGACGATGTGCCAGTGTGGAGGCTATTTCCCGAAGGGGGTAGACATGAGGTTGTGTGCCAGCAAGGACGCTGGGCCTGAAGGGGGTGGATTTGGTGGGGGTCCCACATCGATTGGAGAAAGGAACGAGTGCCAGCGAGGACACTTGGTCCTGAAGGGCGGTGAATTGTGATATCTCACATCGGTTGGGGAGAGAACGAAACACCCTTTATAAGTGTGTGGAAACCTCTCCCTAGTAGTCGCATTTTAAAGCCTTGAGGAAAAGCCTGAAAGGGAAAGGCCAAAGAGGACTATCTGCTAGTGGTGGGCTTAGGCCGTTACATCAAATAACTAGAACTAAAAAATCATTAGAAAGGTCGGAAGTAACTAAGGCTTACTGCATTAAATGTGCTAATTTCCTCACTAGTGGACACTGGTAGACGTCTTCTTAAAAAATCTCCTCCTTTTACATCTCAATATCATGTCCCAATGATCTTGATCTTCCCTGTCCAAAAACCACTCCTCTCTTTATATATGGTGGATACCGAGCATTTCTCTTGAGAATCCTTACATCGTGCGTTGAACGCCAACTTAAACCCAAGCAGCCCGAGAAACATGGCATTTGTTTATTCTCTCAATGATAGTTTGTCTAATTTTAGGGCCTTGGTAACCTCCTTTGGCTTGGGGTTGGCTCTCCTATTTTATTGTATATTTCATTGATCTATGAAATATCTCTGTTTCTAGAAAAAAAGAGAAAAAACTTGGAACTTGCTACAGATACTGTGAGAGAATGGAAAGTGAACTATTTAAATGCTATTGGTCCTTATATCACTCAAACAAACTCATCTTTTGTGGCATATTGTGTTTTAATAGGATTATTTTGGTATACGTAAATGGCGATGATAAATAATTTCGATGATTTTCCCTTTTTGTTTTAATGATCGGATTTCATAGAGTTCGAAGGGCGATGATTACTGATCTTTGTGGAATAGTTGGTTGGATTGGATTGACAAACTATCTGTAGTCCTTTTTCTGAGATGACTGATGAGAAGCTAATAGTTTTTGTTTCTTCATAAATGTACCAATTGTTTTGTTTATAGGTTTGAGCCTGATATGCTAGCCTTTTCTGGATGTTACTACGGAGGAGGTGAAAAGGAAAGGCGTGAACTGGGTGAAATTAGGAAGCGATGGGAAACGTTACCTGTGAGTAGTATTCTGTAGAACTGTGTATATTTGGACATGTACGATCGATCAGCAATTAGCGAGTGGCTGTGCATAAAATTTCTGTTTTGCTTTACAGGATGTTAGTGAAGAGGAGGAAAGGAAGAGAGGGAAATGCCCACTTACTCCCTACGAAGTCGGTCTGATGCTACGAGCACTTGGTTTTAGAAACGACACTTATATTTATGTTGCGTCTGGTGAAATATATGGTGGAGAAGAAACTCTGAAGCCTCTTAGAGAACTTTTCCCAAATTTCTATACCAAGGAGATGCTTGTTAATGCAGAGCTGAAACCCTTTCTTTCATATTCTTCCCGTCTTGCTGCCATTGACTACATCGTATGCAACGAGAGTAACGTATTTGTCACTAATAATAACGGAAACATGGCGAAGATTCTTGCTGGCGAAAGGTACAAACTTATTCTTTTCTATATTATTATCAAGAATGAGATTGTTTTACTTATTAGCTAGAGTTTAAAAAGGTGGTCTGTTTCGATTCATATGCAAACTGTCGAGAATGTAGTTGAGCATGCTTGAAATGTCCAGATTCTTATAGCTTTTTGTAGAAGGAATTACTCTAGTGGTTCTAGCAATCAGCCATCTGTAACAAGAGGCGCTTTCGCAACTTTTGATCTAAGAAAATAACCGAGCGTCTACAACCTTTGTTCATTCCATCTCGACTTGCTAACACAGAGCCATGATTTGTGCATTTTAGGAGGTATTCAGGTCATAAGAGGACGATTAGGCCAAATGCAAAAAGACTGAGCGCTTTGTTCATGGAAAGGAACAAGATGGATTGGGAGACATTCGCCAGAAAGGTGAAGACTTGCCAACGAGTGTTCATGGGTGAGCCTGATGACTTGAAACGTGGTAAAGAATTTCATGAATTTCCTGATTCCTGTATTTGTGAGAAACCTTCCCATGAAAAAATTAAAGATGAAGGCAACAATCACCATGATTTGCAAAAGGAATAGTGGAAAACAGAAGCTTGGTGGAGTCCAACTATGTGTATGGGGGCAATTTTCATCATGCCGACCCTATCGATGTTATATCAAGTTCGATCAGCCCTGTCGTCTTCGTCCCATGGTATAGGAAGTTTGATCAATTGTTCATAACTTGGTTCTTTTTCCATAATATCGAGTATGTATAGATGTGTAGATCTGTCTAAAACGTGCTGCTTTTGCTTCTGCTGCTGCTCTAGTCTCTTATGCGCAAGCTAACACCCGCTGGCCCCCCTCCTGATTCGTTTTCTTAGTTTGTCGAATTATGATATATGAGCTGAACCTACAAGGCCCTATGACTGCATACCAGTTCGAATCGACAACATGCTCGATACAGACAGCCGAATTGATGCCAGTATTACTGACTCCATGTGAGAGCCTAAGGCAATATTGTTATTTTTATCTTTGTTTCTCATCTCAATGTAACTTGTAGTTTTAGAAGTTTTTTTGTTTACATGCAAACATAAGGATCATTTTAGTTTGCCTAGTTATGGTTTCTAAATTGGTGGATGAATGTTGCAGCCAAACCCATAACTCGACATTCAAGCTTGCAGGAAATTAAGCCATAGATTGGGGTTTGGATACGGGCGTTCATGGGTTGAGTTGAGTCGGATTTGGATCCAATCATAAAGTTTAGGGTTGAGTTAGTTCATGCTTAGATCATAAATTTGAGTCGCTTTGGTTTAACTCGATCAAAATTTAAAGAAATGCATGCATAATTTGTTTTTTTTGTTTAAATATGAGCAAATTCAAATAAATTTGTAACCCAATCTAAACTATCAAATTTTATGAGTAATTGGATTTTTTTTAACATTCCCAGATTTGGAAACTGAGATTTTTTATAAGGAAAAAAATGATAAGATTGGTAAAATATAATCTAATTTTCCACTTATTATCCGAACTGTAAGAGCAATTAACCGCATTGAATTTCTAAAAAGAATATTATTATGTTCTAACAAATTATTTGATACCAAATTCAAAATTAAGAAAAAATATTGTAGAAAGCCAAACCAACCTTTACATTTCTGAAGAAGAAAATACATATAATATGAACAAAGGGAAAAAGAAAAGGAAAAGGAGTACTGTAGCAAATATTAATCTTTGTTCCAACCTGTTCAATGAAAACAAGTTTTGGGCAGTACCTGAACCTTCCGACCGATCGCCTTCTTCGAGTGCAATCGGCAGTATCAATAACGAGAGGGTAAACAGTAACAATTTCTAGTTAACTCCGAAAGGGAACAAAGCGAGTAGAAGCTTCGATTCTGAAAGCATGCAACACTGAAGTGATAAATATATATAGAGAGATCATGGGGGTAGGGGGGATGACATGTATAGATAACCAAACTACCTTCTTTTGAATTTCAAGACCAACCTACAAGAAGAGTTTCAATATACATCCTGTTATGGCATAGGAGAAAGAGATTGAGAGAACACGAATGTGAGGGAACTTCAATCAATATGAACAACTAAAGCTAAACTTGTAGGAAGTATAACTAAGGAAGCAAGAGTTTCCCTTTTTCCTACATTTATCTATATAGTAAATACAACAATAAAACTACTGTTAAGTCACATTAATTATCTGCAGAGGATGTTTCTTCCCGGGCCTAAAACCCCAAGTTCGCAATAAGCCCCCGCTTAGATTTTGTTCCCTGTAACAGAATCGAGTAATGAAGTTTTGTCATGATGTAACGTAAATTTGAGGCGAAATTCCGAAGTGAATTAGGCACATCAGTTCCTACCTCTAGATGCATTCCTGTTCTGGCTTCGTTGACCTTTATCGTGTGAAATAGAAGGAATCTTCGAGATTGTCAATGAGCTTTGTAGTCCCTCTAATAACTGCAAAACCAAGATTCGGAATGCACGTGCACATTACACATAACATATACGAGGGTACACCTACAAAAATGACAAACAAACAGTTGATTGAAGTTCTCTTATCAAATACTCACTCTAGAGGTAGGCTGAATACGGCGGTTGGATCTACGTGGCTCAGTAACGTTAGAATTCGGTTTGGTAGGATTCCCATTGAAAACCTCTTTATCCTCGATTTTTGCCAATTTCCCCACTGCAGGAGCAAGTTTTCCTTTATTTGCTCGTTCCAGCTTCGTGTGAAATGAGGATGTTTTCTTGGAAGCGTGTGCTGGAGGAAATACGACCGAGCCCTCTGGTGCTTCTTCAGTGCTGCAGAAAGAAGGAACATCTATTTGGTTGTTCTTCGTCGAAGCGCTCTCGTTCTGGCTTTCAGAATCCTTGGTAATAACTGCATGATTTGTTGCCAAAGAATTAACATCAGCAGAAACATTTGCAAAAAGTATTTCATTCTGCAAAATAGTCTTACCTGACATACTTGGTTGCTTTCCGGACTTCACAGCCATGGGTTTAACAGCGTTTGCAGATTTTTCCTTCGTTTCATATTTTGAAGTTCTTTTTAATCCTTTGGATGTAGATCCTTGCGGCATCAAATACTTAGCCAACTTAGTTGAATCATTTGCTTTAGTAGTTCGAGTGTCTGCATCATAATGTTTGCTCACTTCCATAAATTTTCTCTTTTTTCCAGGCTTGGGAACACCAATAACCACTCTCGATGTGCCCTTCTGTAGACCAGTCCAACCGGTTTTTAATGGATTAGACTTGTTCTCAGTTTGAATATTCCTACCAATATTGAATACTTTCTCATTTGCTGATAAAAAAAGCGAACTCTGGTCCGCTGGTTTCGCCAACTCGACATCCTCCACAATCGTTGGCATTTTATCCTTCCTTTTAACCTCTACAGCTGGACTGCCCAACTTCATACGTTTTTCCTGAGGTACAACAATCTGAATGCAATTGCAACTAAGCATATTTCAACAGAGTATGAACATAAAATCAGAGAAACAAACAAAAGTATAGTATGGACCTCATGAGAATAATCATTTGCATATGAGCCAGACAACTCAAACCATTCCCCATCTTTCCATATAAGAGATGGTCGGAGATTCCAAGCTTTGATAGTGGACGTTTCACCTCGATCTGCAAGAAAAACCATATGTTGATTAATTTATGAAAAAAACAATCTACATAGAAAAAGGTCAGTTGAACTCTGAATCTTAGTGACATGCCTGGAAAGCGGACAATATATGTTGCTTCCTCTTTTGCGTCCTTCTCAACGACCACTCCTTCATGCCAGCTGGGAAACATATAAACAAGCACAAGATTACGGATCAAATTTGGGGATCAAGATGGCACCAACTCACAAAATCTTTCATCTTATAACAGTGTAGCAGTTGAAACTACTTAGGTAAGTGGCTGGCCCTTATAACAGTGAAAATGTTGTGTAGCTACTCGGTCTCAAACCTATGTAAGGACTCAACTTCATTTGAATTAGATGATGGCAATATAACAGAGGATTAGCATCATGGCTCTTGAACAACCCTAATGCAAAATGACTTGGAAAGTTGAGTATCCTAAGGATGTAAAGGTTTCCCCTATGTTTGATTTGGGAAGGGTGAATGCTCAAGAAAAACTCCCAGATTAGAAACCCTTCCACTCCTTTCTTCCAAACTGATGCTTGCAAGAGGGGTAACGCTGAAATCTCTTTGTTTGATACTCTTTCTTTCTCTAAGATCGCAATGGAATCCTTTCAATAACTATGGTTGCGTACAAGATTTTGAAGAACATCCAGAAAGTATTGTGTGGTTATCAATAAAGATAAAGTTCTTTAAAACATGATTTGCACGGTTCTGAAGGAGACTAGGATACAAAAGTATAAGGGAGTTCTCCAAAAGATAGATAGGTAAGTCGGGGATCTATGTGATACTCGATGGCTTTGGACAGAAATATATCCATTCCCTCCTCACTGTATATTTCCTTGCTTAATGAACATTGATTTCAATAATTAATAAAAAAAAGAAAGAAAGAATAGAATTAAAAAAAAAAAAAAGCACAAAAAGAAAACCACACCTATTCTGCATCCAAGCATCAACTTTGTCTCCAACCGACCAGATATAGTCCCCAGTAGCTGCACGGCGTCTCTTCCTTGTTCCTTCATTCTGCAAGGTAGTCAGAGGACGAGAAATTCGTATTCTCGGCGCCATACCCCCTTGACCATCGAGTGCAACCCACTCCTTTAGTTCACCTGGCCCTGCTCAAATCAAGAAAGTAAAATCGTCTGCAAAGAGAAGACAAGAACTTGCATGTTTTTAGAGCTTAATATACTCTCATTTTAATAGGAGCATTATATACAATCATGAACTAATTTATGGACCATAAGCTGATAAAAATAGTTTAACTGCAGCTTCTCTTGCAAGCAAGAACCAAATAGTTCATTAGTCAATCTCAAGTTACAAAAGCATAATGATTAGACCATCATCTTACATCGTATGTTTTGCTTGTCATTACCTTCTTCAGGTTGAAGTTCAGTGTAGGACACGTAAGCTTGCCCTTCCTTCAAACTCAGCACAACGGCTGTGAACCAAGATGCTTTTAATCCATTCCCATCCTTAAAAACCTAATTCATGACCAACAAAGTTAATACAAGATCAAGGGTCAGTAAACACCAATAAATGGTCGGTAAATAATGAGAATAATGAAAATTGATCAGTTTGGTGACACACTTGAGGGATTCAAAAAGAAGCAGAAAAGTCCCATCGAATTTTTCTAAACCTTAAATCTACTTTCATCTTTACCGTAAGGAAGATTCTCTTTTCCTTCGATGAGAAACATGTATCCTTCATTTCATTGTTAAAGTTCAATTTTTCTAGGGCCCCCTTTCACTCTGGCGTTGCTGTTGCCCTTCCTTAAATTTTAGAGAGGATTCTTCTCGGTCTTTGTGTTCCATTTCGGAGTTCTGCTGGCTTCTCAGCTTTTGAATGCTGTTTCAGTGTGCTGCGTTAGATTTTGCTCCAGCTTGGCTTTCAACTTTTGTTTGAGCCTGCTCTTAGTGTTGTTCTGTAGTTTGTTTCTTTTGTTTAAAGAAGCTTCTAGTTTTGTTTGTTACAGCTTGTTCATCTCTTTTTTCTTTTTCTTTTTTTTTGTTGGTTCTTTAGGTTCTTGTTTTATTCTTTCCCCTTGGGGGATTATATCCCCGAACATTTTTATTTTCTGTTTATCAACCAATAAAACATTGTTTCTTGTTAAAATAAAAATGATCAGAAAATGCAGGTGCATACATATAAGCATTTGAATTCCACGTTAGTACTCCTCATGGCATCAGCAGCACAAAAGAAGTAAACAGAATAAAGATCAACAATGGAGGGATAGTAAAACTATATAAAATAATCTCATACCTCAACATGGGAACCTTCCCTGATGCTACTTTGTCTTGAATCCTTGGCCTTTTCACACTCATCCTGGGAGGATCTTTCTCCTACTTCAGATTCTGGAACAACACCAATGGTTTTTGTCAGATCAGAAGCAATTTGGTCCTTCTGTCCTCCCAGATCCTTCTCACGAGGTGCTACACAACTTGTCATGCCGTCAACCAATCTGGGATGGTTCTCAACAGCGCCCATAGAAATTTCTCCAGGAATAGATGACTTGGTACTGGCACTTACCTGAATTTCATTCTTACCTGACAATCCATCTCTATGACGCTTAATAGCTGAATTGGAACGTCCTCCATTAATATCGTCTGATCTCATAACCACCTCAGAAGATACTTGAGGACTTTTCCAATAACCCTCTGGACCAGCTTCCACTAACTTACTCAAGGGAGGAGGATCGCCCATAGCAACTAACTTTCCAGCTTGTGACACAGCTGCTGCTGCCAGTTCGGCAGCTTTGACAATGGCATCTACATTTTCAGCATGCTTAGAAGCTGCAGATGCAGCTTCAACCCTCTTTCTAGCTGCCTCCCTTGCGGCAACAATAATAGAACTGGAACCATTTCCTCCATCTTCACCCCTCAAGATGGAGGCTGGAGTGGCCTTCCCTACACCAACAGCACTAGTATGAACAGAAATTGCATTGCCTGGACAGGAAACCTCATGGCTAGATGAAGTCAATGCCTCATCAGCAATCAACTTTGCTTGAAATGCAGCATTTGATGCCACACTAGCGGCAGCGGCCGCAGCCCTTGCAACAGTAGCAGCTGCTGCTATAGCAACAGCTGCTGAAGCTAGTTTAGCTTCTACGTCTGATACTAATTCTGAATTCTTCTGCCTGTTCAATTGACTCCACACTTCTGCACTGTGTTTAACAGCTTCAGATGCAAACAGTGCAGCATCCTCAGCCAGTTGCTTAGCCTCCCTAACCTTGCCGAGTGTTTCCTCTGAAAACATAGCTCTCCCTGTCAAATCTTGATCTGCAGTCATTGGGTGAGTAGTCGGACACAGTGGAGGAGATGATAAAATCAAACTCTCAGAAACTGCCTTAGGATGTACAGATGGAGATGTTGCAAGAGTAGAAATTGCAGGTGTAACTACAGCTGAAACTGGTTTTAAATGAGGTTGAACCTGCATAGTTATAAGGCCAGGATCCTCAGAAACTGTAGTCTTCTTTCTTCTTCTCATTTTTGATTCAGTGGAATTTTGCCCCGTGGTTGCTGATGCCTTTTTTAACTCAAGCAGGGGGGCAGCCCCAGGAAATACATTACCAGGAGTTCCACCGTGAACCATAGAACCAGAGGGCTTCACGGCAGAGGATTGTGGCACAGATGATTCCTTCAACGGTGTTAAATGAACTGGCTCAGTAATTGGCAAACCAGAAAATCGTGCACTGGAGTCAGGTGTCGAAGTCTGAGTAGCAACCCAGGTACTGTGGAATGGAGCCTGAGAAAACCATGAAAGATTATGACCAATAAAATTCCTGACAGGAGGAGTCTGATATGGATGCAACGGAGTAAGTGCTTGTGGATAGTCTATGACTGGACTTCGAGGCATAATACTAGATTGCAGAGCATTGGAAGGTGTGGAAATACTCCAGAGTGGTGAGGAAAGAGGGATCATAGGATTTATCACAGTTGATGTACTCTTACTGCTAACTCGACTAACTGAAGCAGATATAGTTTTACTTTGTAGTGTACTTTGTTTATTTGCTTGCTCAGTACCCCTACTACCTACAGAACAAATTTTCAAATTCAAAACGAGAGAGAGAGAGAGAGAGAGAGATAAGCCTAGAAATGCATAAAATGCTTCAAAGTACCAGATTGTGATTGCGATGGTGTCTCTGGCTGAGATTTTTTTCCATGAAACCTGTCTACACACATACGCCAGGCATTCTCCCAAAGGTTTGTTTCACCATCTGAAATTTAAAATCACACAAATAAAGAAAAAACGGCATCCATATGGTGAATCATAATGAATGATAGGGGGGAAATTTTACCAGTTCCTCCAAATGCAGACAACATGTACGCCTCATCTGGTGCTGTACCTTGACTGCAGCAACGATTAAATCCATAAAAAAACCACTTAGTAGAAAGGAGCTCCATTGTTTTCTTTGGCAAAAAAAATAAAAAAACGAAAAAGAAGAAGAAAAAGAAAGAGTAGCTCAACGAAAGGAACTACACGAGAATTTTTTTGTGCCTTGCTCAAAGGAATGAAGTGCCTTTTTGCTGTCTTAGGACAAGACTTCCTCTATAACTTTTCTAGGGTAATGAAAGGTGGAAAATTGCAATGATTTTCAGTTCTGACACTAACGCCTCTGAACATATACATGCAACTGAAGAGAAAGCTAAAGTTTCATTCGATTGTTTCAAGGACCAGAAGAATAAATGGACTCACATCAAAGCTCCATAAACAAAAATCTGAGCACGCAATTGAACTTGCTGCAAGTCTGTGAAAGGCTGTTGAAACATTGTAGATGGGGAGGCAGAATTGTTCAAGTCTGGAATGCTTGAAGTCGAAGCACCAATAAAGACAAATGGTTTTGCACCACTGGACTCCACATGTCCATGATGTTGCATCTCATTGGACAGTGCAAGCTGGAAAACTCCAGGATTGCTTATGGGTGTACTGTTAGACTTCTCTACTTTCTCCGATTTCTTCAAATTTCCCTTTGTAGACGACGCTTTCCCCAATCCTACGACAGAAGCACGCCTAGGTTTACGCTCAGGAGTGCCCTTGGAACGAGCACGTGAAACTTTTACCTCAGACACCTGAGGGCTACTGTGTGAAATACCCTGAGCACTCTTGGCGTCCAATTTGGATCGGCCCGAAGATGATTGGGGTCCCTCCACGACCTTCAATCAAAATAATCCACAATATAAAGAGTGAAATATGTTGTATTCTTTCTTTTCTTTTCTTTTTTTTCTCTCAACGAAAGTTTATTTATTCATTAACAAAGACAAAATAAAATAAATAAATAAAGAATGGAGCGTGAAAAAGATAAATAAATATTTTCCCATGAACAGGATGATAATATGAAGGAAAAATAAGATAAAATCTAACGGAACCAATGACATGAAGGAAAAAAATCACCGAAGAAGCATTAGCTGCTGATGCAACTGGATTGCCAGAATCACTTTTTGGCAGATCTACCAATGAACTGGACTCAAAGGTAAGAACTGTCTCACTTTCAGAGGCACCATTTCCTTTGGGTAACTGGGAACCAGACGCTGCATTGCCAACCAGCCTACCCTTGGGCTCTGCAGCTTCAACATTCTTACTCAATGGCCCCTTATTGCAATCTTTTTCATCTGGATCAAGAGCAACCACAGTAGTTTTGACAACATCGGGTACATTAGGAGGAGGCTTATCAGCAGTAGAATTACCATTACCCATCACAGACGTCAGTTCATGAGATTCTGGAACAGCTGCATAGCATAATGCACTTTCCTTTTTGCCAGCATCACCTGCAATCGAATAGTAGGAGAAAAATCAAGTTTGAAAAAAATTTGGAAAATGCATACAAGACATCTCCAACACCACCATAAAAACAAGAAAATATCATTCAATTTCCCTTCATCTTGAGGAAAGACTAAATGCCATTTCTTATTTTTCTGCAAATGCACAAAATGCAATCTTCCACATGCAAGTTCTTTTCCAGCAATTTATATTGCAAAGAGCAATCAACAAAAGCAATCCACGATTTCTGTACAAAATGATAAAAAAAATGAACTGAAAACGCAAGAGTATAAGGTTAAATCTGACAATTTCAATCTAAGTCGAGTTACATTTTTTTTGTTCTTAAGAAACATCTTTTATTGATAAAAATGAAAGAACATCAGGAATCAATATAATAACACTACTAATTGGAAATCTTTTCAGGAAAAAGAAAATCACAAAGGGTTTGTTACAATCACACCTCAAACTTTTAATTTGAAAATTTTATGATACCATTGCAATCCAGCCCAATAATACTAATAACAGTTATCATTATTGTTGTTGTTGTTGTTGTTATTGGATAAGAAACTGAACTTTTATTGGAGAAAGAAGCGCATAAAAAAGGAGGTGAATGAGGAAAATTATTGAACGCGGTAGCCATAGTGAAGCTACCACATAATAATCTTTGATTAAGATTTAATATTCAATGATGATTACTGATGCACCACAAACTCTTGATTTTAAAAATTAAACCCTCAATCTTGCAAAAATGTAAAAGTCATGTATTTTGATCAACCATTGTTAAAAATGCCAATGGATGTGAGAGAAACGTCTCCTTTGCTCTAGAGTAATGTATCCCTCTCTATCATATTCCTCCCTCTGTAGGACTTTTTCTCTCTACCGCTTTCTTCTCTCTACAAAAAGTCTTATTTCTCCTCTTTTAACACCTCTCCTTTCTAAACGCGGTCTCTCTTTTCTCTTTAACATACTCATCTCTCTCTATAAAGTATCTTCATAAGGCGCATTAGAGATTTATTAAAATGCAACAAAACATTTTGGAGAGAACTTTAACTAAAATAGGTAAAAAAGTAGTGTTGCTCAAGAAACCGAACACAACCCAACCATATTATAAAGGTTGGGTTCCGATTTTCAGTTTGATTCGGTTCACTGGTTCAGAAAATAAAAATCCTGGTTTAAAAACTGATGTGTGTGTATATATAGTTTGTTTCTTTTCACATCTCAATGTAAAACCCACTTTCTTTTCTCATTTCCTTTCCCTCTCTCTCCCTCTCTCTTTTCTTCTACAGCCTTTCTCTCTCTTTACAACCCCTCTCTCCTTCTCTCCTCTCTTTGGTAACCCATCTTTCCCTTTCTCTCCCTCTCCCTCCTCTCATTTGTCGACCATCTACAGTACACTAACGGCAACATCGCCATTCAGTCCAACCATGAGCCACCTTGCACGCATCAATCAATTCAAGTATTAAAACCTAAAGACCCAACCCACCCACTCTACTCAGGTTGATGGGTCAAGGAACCAACCAACCCAAAAATTTGAGTAGGTCTCAACAAAAATACCACTAATCTAACTCAACCTGTGTTACATCTCTAAAAAATAGATAGCCAACTCAAAAGTTAAGGCATTATCACCTCAATCAACCAAAGGTTTGAACCCTCATCTCCATGTATTGTTAAAATTGAAAAAGAATAGGTAAAATGGATAGAGAGGGGTACAGTATTGTGAACTCAAATTATTAAATAACAATAATAAAATAAATAAATAAACCCAAAAGGGAAGAAAACAAGGCATGCTGCAAGATATCCGCATAGAAATCCTAGTGGAAATATGAAAGACAAATTTTTATGGCCGAATATAACACTTCAATCATGAATGAACAAGAAATAAACAGCATGAGCAGAAGTTGCTAGCTGAAACAGGAAATTGAACACCAAAGTCAACATTCAAACTGCAATAACAAATAAATCAAATAATTTAGTGTAACATATCATTCCACATGCATCTAGAAGTTGTATAATTTGGTTACTCACTGTCAGTGCTCACTGCAATAGCCTGCTGACAATTATTTCCCACAGATTCTGAAACAACTTTAGAACTTTCCTGATCTTTCTGATAATTATCAAGTGTTTCCCCTGGCAGTGGAGTTAAAGACAACGCATCAAGCGGAAAAGCTTTTACATCTAAAGAAAAAAATCATTTAACAACTTGATCGTTAGAAACATGGAAAAGATCCACTGACATAATTATGTAAGCTAAGTGGTCCAAACCAACATTATTAATAAATTCAAATGTCGTGGATTAAAGATTCTAAACAGAAGGTAAATCAGATAACTACTGGTAGTACAATACATTGTCATTTAAAAAATAAAACCATTTTCAATCAGCAGAGTTCTACAGGTGAATTGAAATCATCGTTGCATCAGTAAGGGCATCATTAGTTTGTAATTATCCATAATGAAAAATGACAGCAGAAGAAGGCAGCTGCCACGCACTGAGGCTAAGATACATGGGAATTACGTGATAATATTTTATGTACAAGTCTCTTGTCTTTGATTATTTACGTTGTGGCATTCTGTAGAAAGCTGAGAATACAATACAGTACCAAAGGAATACGTCCAGGGTTTCAGACAAGAGTTCACAAGCCTTAACACACCAAAAAGAAAAAAGAAAAAAGAAAAAAACTCCGATAAAATCTAGGAAGAGTAATAGTCTATAAAGAAAAATTAAATCTAACTCAACTATGAAACTTATCGGTTAATACTTATTAGATTGAAGTTAAGCATATCCAGTTACGAATTAATCAAGATGAGGTTCTCAAGACATGACTTCTACTTCAAGCCATTCTCTTTCTTTCCTTCAAAACAAAATGTAGGAAGGCTTGGGCAGAAATAAATTAAAGAAAAATATTAAAACCACTTCAGTCATTAATAAATTAATTTAAAATTTAATATCACTAAGACAATTCAAACGTTTTAACTAAATTGAAAGTTCAAACTGGCACACCTGACTGTTTAACACCGTTATCACATGCTTTTGCAGTTGACTTCGAAAAAGCTGGATCAACGTCCATTTCCTGTCTGCAGTCCTGGATAACATTATTAGGAACGTCTACTTGAGGTGTAGATTGGCTTTCTGTGTTGCAGCCCTCAGTGTTCAAATCCTTTGAAATAGATTGATCGATACTTTCACCTAATCCCTGGCCAGTAATGACATGAGCGGATTTTTCAGCTTGAGAAACAGGATGAAATAGCGCCACAGGTTGAGAAGTATCCAACAGAGGAGGTCTTCCTTCAGCAGGAATCATCACACCACTTTCTTCTTTGCTATCGGATTGGGTAAACTCCACCAGAGCAGGCTGCAACTGGTCCTCTTTGTCATCAGCGTCTTTTCTGTCTGTCAAAGCATCAACTGGAGGTAAGGAGTCACCCTGTAATGTGCCACATGCTTTCACATTGACATCCTCAAAGGTAGAAACTGATGTGCCACATACTGCCTCAGTAGCATCGTCAAGGGAAGACACTGATGTACCACATACTGCCTCAGTAACGTCGTCGAAGGCAGAAACCGATACTGCAATCATAGGAAAAGGGAGAAAATAAAAGTAGCTGGCTCAGCATGCATACCTTGAAAACAAAAGTGAAGCATAACTACATGATCTTTAGAACATCCCCAAAAATTACATTCGAACATCACATACCTGATTCATCACCGGTATTAGCACTGTACTCTAATTTTGTATTTATCATCCCACTTTCTACACCACTCTCTTGAAAAGACAAGGATATGATTCTCTTATCTGCGACAGGAGACTCAGCAATCTTGCCATCCACACTAAGAGAATCAGACGACAACATCCCTCCTTCCTTTCCACCGGCGTGCTCAGCATGGACATTACCAGGCTGACACAATTTATTATCTTCACATAATTGTGTTGATTCAGCCACAGTGGTGGGTGAATCAGACGACAACATCCCTCCTTCCTTTTCACTGGCGTGCTCAGCAAGGACATTACCAGGCTGACACAATTTATTATCTTCACATAATTGTGTTGACTCAGCCACAGTGGTAGGTGGCAAATGGCCTTCAGAATACAAGTCTTCCGAGGGAAGTGTACCCTTAGGAAATTTATCAGGAATATCTCTGATATGACCACTGATGCTTTCACCAACCTTGGAGGCATCATTTTCCTCCATAGCAGATGCAGAATACTCAGACTTACTAGTTTGTATCTCAATGCCCGAGGGAAAATGCTGCTGATCTTCAACAATTATTTCCTGTGCACAAGCCATCTGCTCAACTGAATCACTCTTAGGCCCTTGAAAAGCACAAACTTCAGCATTAACGTTTCTCGCCTCACCTGCACACGCCTCAGATCTAGCCTCACCTTTAATAACCGTAGGTAATACCTCATGCATGTTTGCTTCAGACGGATTCCCAATCTCCACATTTGTACACAAGACCTTATCATCAAACTTGCCACTTTCAGCAGGAACTTCCGACGTAACCTCACCACTACCTGAATGGAATACACAATCCCCCTTCAAGGTCATACTTGCATGGGACTGCAAATTAGCAATACTAGAATCGATCACCAAACTTTCTGTAGCAACTGAGGGTGATAAAAGAGGGCTTTGGTCATCTTTACTCAACTCGTGTGAATTGACCACTTGGTCAGTATTCTCAATATATTTATTAACTGGATTCTCACACAGATCTTTTATTTTCTGTTCAATCTTCTGGTTGCTCAACTTTTCACTGCCTTCATGCGTGCACGTAACCAAATCATTTATATGCTTTCCTGAATCAGAAAAACCATCTTGCCCTTTATCTTCCAAGGATATGGCAGCTGAAGTATCGGTTGTACTTGGACATGTTTGCTTACTGTTTTCATCAATACCAGGACTTCCCTCACTTTCTGGCACGTCTACAAGTTCATGAGCGACACCAGGATCAACCTTGCCTAAACTTCTATCAACAGTCTGAGTCTCTTCAAACTCAGTAGGATCAATCCTTTGAAGCTGTTGTTGCTCCCCTCCTATGTCCTCATTAACAACATGAAATTCCTCAAGACTTATATCTGGTAAATCGCCCATTTCACAGAAACTACTACCGTCATCTTTTAAAGTAGGGTCCATTGGATTTGTTAAGTAGTCCAATTTTTCACGAGCATTTGACTTCCCGGTAACTGTTGGTGCCAGATTGATATCTTCCTGCCCAACGGATTTCAATAACATTTCAACAGATTCAGAGGAAGTGGCCTCAGACCAAACATTTTTCCGTCTCAATATAGAACAAGATTCTGCTGCACAAGAACTAAACCCTATTCCACTACTTCCACGAGAATAATCTTCAATCCACTGATTATCTTCGTTGTTCTCAATACCTAAGAAGACCTCAGGTTCAACCAAGCTATCAAATCTTACATGCCCTTGAAGGGTATCATCAAAATCAAACTTTGGGAGAGCATATTGCCGAAGAACAGGAGGAAATTTGGCACTTCCTTCACCAGCTAAATGAAGATTCTGGCTTTGAAAGTCATTGTCGTCATAATCCATGGGTTTATCTCTGCTTTTGAAATGGTTGGGAAAAAAAAAATTAAGAGAAAGGGTAGTTACTGTGCTAATAACCTTTTCCAAATTCATTATAACTATGATTTGTACCTAATTAGTTTAACCTAGAAAATTGTTCGTTGATGCGCCACGTGGGTCGCAGTTACCATCCCGAGTACACATATCAATAGGCCATATACTCTCAAAGAAAAGTTCATGAATAGAAGAATTAGTAAGAAAAAAAACTCCCCCAAACCCCCATATTCATATAGTTGCCGGGTTCGAACCCAACATTCCACGACATTTGCATTCGGCATGTATCAAAAACCCACACCAAAGTATCAACAATTAATGAAAAAACTAACCTCATGATAACTTCAGAGAACATCCTCTAGAAGTTTATTAAAGAAAATCCAGCCTAATAGCTCATCGATTCAAAGCAGACTAAAAGACATACTCACTATAAACAATTACAAAAGATAATAATAATAAATAAAAGAATCATATGATAAACAACCCAGAAGAATATTTTGAAAACAAAAAGGAAATGAACAGTACCAGAAGAAGTAAGTGTAGAGACGCTACCTCCCTCCATCCGGTGATGAAAACCAACCCGTTTGATCTCAGCTATTCCCTTGTCTCGCAGTCATCTACTGCTTCAAACAAAAACCCTAACCTTCAGTGAGTCTCGACCGAACAACAAAGTATAAGCAGCCGCAACAATAACTCCTCAAACAGAGAACAAGAAAGCCCTAACTGCATTCAGCAAGAAATCCAATTGACTGAATAAGAGCTTGTCCGAGCATCAAAATTAGGGTTCCGAAAATCAACGGTGAGAACTGATGTCACAAGAGTGAGATGAAGACGAACAAACAGAGGAGAGAGAAATTGAGAGCTAGAGAGAGAGAGACGAAAAGAAGGAAAGCGTTGCGACCCTTTTTTCTTTTTTTTTTTCTTTTCTTTTTTTTTATAATTATAAATTTATTGTTTCATTTCATTAATCAAACAAAAAATATATATAATTAAAAATTAACATGTGTACCAATAATAAAAAGACACGTGTCAGAGAGTGGTACATTTTTCGAGCTTAAGTACTGTTTTCTTCCTTGGACAAAAAAGAATATATAATAAAATAAAACTAACTTTTTCAATTTCAAAACAAATTAAAATATTTATTTCTTTTTACTCCTATATTTAATTTTATTTTATCTTATATATAATATTTATTTATTTATTTTTATTTTTTAATAGCAAATACAAAATATGATTAATAAAATTACGAAAAAGACCTTACAAGTAATCGAGGAGAACGCTACATAAGTTTTATAATACTTTCACTTTTGTATTTTATAAATATTTTTTATGTAATCGAAAGTTTTTAAAATATTTAAATTTAAAATTTACGAGTAATAAGACGCTTTTAATCAAAGTTTGATGGGTGTTTAAAAAAATAATATCATATAGATTTTTTAAGTTAATAAATCTATTAAATATTTTTTAAAATATCAACTTGCAATTTTTTTTAATATGAATATTTCAAAATAAATAAGTAAATACATAATTAATTAAAATATATCAACTTTGATTACGACTTCAATTCTAAACGATTTTTTATAGTCTAAGATTTGAAATCTTATATTTGAATTTTTTTGCAACAAATTGACCATAGAAATTGAATATAATACACAATAATAAAACACTATTAAATTTTTAAAAAGAAGTCCACGTGTTAAATGAGGCAAGTACATCCTATACTTAAATTGAGCTCGAGCCCACAATTCTCATTTCTCAAAGTTCAAAATATTTAATGTGTTTATAATTTAGTTGGTTGAGACCATAATAATTTTACTTTTAATTATATATATATATGTATGTATGTATGCATGCATGCATGCATGCATGCATGTAGAACGACGATCGCAATGCTTCATGCTTGGAATTCGAACGAGGGTGGTCTCAACATTTCCTGCAACATGGTCACGATACTTACGAGTGAAGACTATCTCCATGTTTTGTCATCTCTATAGATCAACACAAGTTTTTCTAACATATTTTGTCGTCACTCACATGCATATTAAGAAAATTGTAAAGAGATCACTCAATATAAAATTGTTTCAAGCAAAGCACGTTTTAACTTTAGAGTTTTTATGATCGAGTCAGCAAAAACGAAGGTGTACTTTATTGATATAAGTAGTAATTTTCAATTCATTTTAAGTTTTTTTTAGTCGTTTTATCGTAAGGATCGCTCTCATTCGAATGTAATATTAGTTCATTCATGTATCACTAATTTACTTGGGTGTCACATGCCAGCAAGTTTTCTCTCGTTAGAGTATTAGTGAAAATTTTGAAAGTTATAGCGTGTTTTTTAGACAAAATACGGAATTCAATGATATTTTCATTTAATATTCTTTTATTTTTTATATTATTTACATTTGAAATTGTCTTGTTACAACTGTTCGGATCAAAGTGGTTACACGATGGAGTGGTATATAATTTTATGCATGGGTGTGATCTCATGTTGATCTAATAATCGAGACATGTTTGAATGGACAATTTTTTATTTTATTTTATTTTGTCCGCGACTACTTTTTAAGTTGAAGTGATTACATGACAACATGGCGTATCCTTTCATGCATGGGTATTGTTTAGACTGTGAGTATGAAACTTCACGATCTAGCAGTAGAAATACGTTTGAACGGATAATCACATCATCTACACCATTACAACTATTTGAATCGAAACAGGTATTGATTCATGTAAGGATTCAGATTTTACATTTTTATCTTATTTGGTTAAGATTTTATTTTTATTTTTATAAATAACAAAATATTATGTTATGCATTTATTCTTGCCCGAGAAATGCAATTTTAAACAAGAAAGTTTTTATATTAATGGAAATGGTAACGCGTTCTAGAATAAAATAAAATCAAATAAAAATAGAATAAATAATTAAATGTAATCGGTCTGAAAATCGAGGGATTTACTGCTAAACTTTTATTGAAACATTCTTATTTCCCTAAATTTCCTTATCCTAAATCCGTAGGATGTGTTAAGGATATTTAGTAATAAATTATAGTTTACCATATATATTATATTTGATATTTTATTATAAGACAAATATCTAATATTTGCCTTATTATCATAGGTATCTTTTCCATTTAGTGTTATTTTCATTTATTACTATTTCCATTTATTACTATTTTCATATCCTTGTAATTTATTTGATTATAAATAAGATAACTTTCACACCATTTAGGTGTGGTGGATTAATCAAACATTCACAGGATGCTTTGGGAAAAGTCTTGAAATTAGTTTTATTTTCCTATTTCCAACTTTTCACATCCCTTGAAAACGATTTTCTCTCCAAACTTTTCTCCGGAACGTTGGAGTTGCTCTTCGGCGGAAGAATCGAGTGGAAGTAAGGTATTGATGTCGGGATCATTGTGTCAAAGAAGGTTGACCGTCGGAAATCGGTGTTGAGGACGTTGTGGGATCGTCGGCACGTCGTCGGAATCGAGGAGGCGGAAACTAGGGTTTCGTCGCTTGTTGGGTAAGGAAGGTGAGGTTTTTGGAATCGAGTAGAGCCACAGATGCACACCCAACAGCTCCGGCAACTTCGCACGCGTACACAGTGCACCTCGGATCGCACATGTACGAAATTGGGTCGGTTCCATCAATTCCAACAGCTCGACTTGGCGGTTTAGCTGGCCGGCTCGGCAACTAGGCTTAGCGGCAAGGTATCACTATAATATATTGGTTCTAAAGGTTTTCGACCCTTTCGAAGCAGTTTCTGCCCTTAGCTTTACCATCTGAGGTCAGTATGGTTCCTAAACGTTAAAGACAGATTAAGTCTGGGGTTTATTTTGATAAATAGCATGAGGTTTAGCTAGGGTATGTTATGAAAGGTTCCTAAGTTTTTACGTGGTTATCATATAATGTATTTAACCACTGGGATTAGCTCGTTGTGAGTGACTTCAACCAAGACCATCGAGGTAAGTGACCTTACTATTGGAGTTAGCTTACTACGTGTTGTATGATGGTGCGTGCCATGTGGCCCCTGCATGCACCATATTTATATGATATGACTATGTGATGTATGAATTATGTTGACTGTTGTTTGTTTATGTTATGTGAAGATATGAATGATATGTTAGTAGTATATGCCATGAAAAGGTTGATCGATGTCATGTATACACGTAGTATTTTCGAGTCATGTCATGAGATGTTTATGCAACTGGAATGCACTTTCATGTTATGTAATATGTCATGTAATGTAAGTCATGCGAGATGTCATGTAATATAAGAACGTATATGCGATGTTAGCACTGCTTATGTAATGCCATGTTAGATATGTTAAGGGACCTCATGCATATATGTATGTCAGGATTCTTCCCCTTTATGTTACAAAAGAATGAAATACGATATTTATGTTCCCCATGATATCATGCAGGCTTTTTTTTGTTATGTGATATCCGGCGACGTGTAACATTTTGTGCCCGACCAAGCTAGGCCCAGGGGATACGTATATGAGCCCACCTGGTGGGTCCATGTACGCGTACATGGGCCATGTGGGAAGGAGTACCATACATCCAACTCTACCCGTAATAGAAAAGCACTAAAGGCAAGTTTATGAAAAGTTAGGTCCCGCTCATATGTTGCATGTGTTTGCATTCCTAACCCCAACAATGGGGTGACTTACTGAAGCCACGTGCGATTTATTTTGAATTCAATTATTGAAGGTTGATTTTTTAATATAGGTTTTGTTTTGGATTTATGAATCTTTATGAGAGACTTTGTTTTGTTTTCAAAGTTATTTACGATGAGCTTCCGTGTAATGAATTATGTATGCATGGATGACGTCACTAATTAAATTTAGAAAATTAGGGAAATTACATTTCATGTATGGACACAATCTATAAATCATCACGTTCTACCGTTCTACCGATAAAGACATGTTTGAGAATATTTAAAGAAAGGTTGCAATATTCATCCAAAACTTTATAAATGATGTAATATTTAGTTTAAAATTTGATTAAAGTTACAAATTTTTTAAAAATAAATTATAAAATACGGCATAAAACTAATGGAATTTAAGTAATTAATTTTAGACTTTTGTTAAAATTCGCTGAGTTTGAGAATATTTATTTTACGAATAATTATGTATAATTTTAAATTTATTAAAGTTTGTGAAATTTTAAAGATTTTTTTTTTAAATCAAAGACAAACGATAATTTAACTATAAGTTATATGAATAAAAATATTAGTAAATTTTATATTTTATTAAAAAATAATTATAAACTTAAATTTTTTTTAATAATACACTTAAACTTAAAAAAAATGTTTAAAAAACATAATTATAATTAATTTTCAATCAATATTATAAAGGTTTGTTTTGAACTTTCATATTTTCATTAATATCTTATTATCATTAATATATTAACTTTATTGTTTTAATATTATTTTTAAAATTTCATTAAGTGAAAATATTTTGAAGTTTTTTTTGAAAAGTGTAAGAATATTTATGAAATTTTAGACAATAATTTTTAAAACATTTTTAAAAATCTAAAAAATATTTTTAAATTAATGGTAAAAATATTTAAAAGAAAAAAAAAATACGCGGCTTACCAAAAAAAAAAAAAAAAAATTGCGGATTAAAATGAGAAAACGCGGCTTTTCCGGCAAAAGCGAAACCCGAAATTCACAAGAAAGCAATCTCTTTGTGGACTATAAAAGGAGGCCCTTCGCGCTTACAGCCTCAATTTTTTCAAGCTATCCAAAAAGTCGATCTCTCTCCCATTCCCCATATTTCCTTAGCCCTAACGCAACTCCGAACGCTCGGGCGCTTCGAACCGCCTATTTTCCCCTTGGATTTCATGGATTTCTGTTCCGTTTTGTGATTTTATCGCTCCGCCGTTGAAGAATCCGATCGATCTTTGCTATTTTC